TCTAAGAAGTTGGCCTGTTATCTAGATAATCAAAAGAACCAACTTTTGACGTGGTTCTTTTTGGATGCGAACAACGACTTGCCGAAAAATAATGACCCCGTTCAACCGGGCAGTGGCTAACTCCCCGAAAAAGTCTCTTTACCCCCTTTTTTTTGGTCTACTGGGAACAAAGCATGTGGAACATAATGAGTTGTTCCCGGGAAGTAGTCGATTTCGCAAAAGGGGAAATCTTTCGATTCATCTCAATCAATGACGACGAAATTGAAATGTAGTCTAGCTGAGTTTATCTTCAAATCATTTTGAAGAAGAGGGAGCACTTATTGAAAAACGATTTCACCAATTCCCACTTGACGGGGAAAAGAACGAGTTCCTTTTAGCTGACAACTTGAAAGAAATGTTTAAATAAGTAAAACTGGGGGTTTTCATAAGAAATTAATTTTTAAATTTCAGGTAGTTGCGGCGAAACTTGGACGAATGTACGTGAATGGAAAACAAATCACTGACACGGATTATGTGCTAAAAAATGGAGATTCAATCGAACATTGGGGACACCGACACGAACACCCAGTGAGTAAGTTTATTCGTTTTATTCGTAAATTTGCGATTTGCAACATCGACAAATTACTCTAGAATTACTCTAAAATATCTTTTAAACATCTTTTAAACATCTTTAAACACCTTTTAAACAAAATCACATATTATGGCTTCTCTTTTCAGATCCTCGATTGTCAAATCAAATTTGTTGCTGATACGGAGGACCTTTTGGTGGTGGACAAGCCGGCCTCACTCCCCGTTCATTCATGTGGTCAATATTCACTGCACACGGTTCTCGGAATGCTCCGCACCCAACACAATATTACAGGATTACGGGGTTTCCGCTTAAATAATGATTTTAATTTTGAAACTTTCAGTACTTCATCGTCTTGATCGCACTACATCGGGCATTTTGATGTTTGCAAAGAATTACAGAACGGATTTGGAGGTTTTTAATTTTTTTACTCGATTTAAAGCAATACTTTTAAATTTAGTTTAAAGAAACGCTAAAGAAAGGTCATTGGGTGAAGGAATACGTATGCAAAGTAGATGGTGTGTTCCCAGAGTGAGTTTTAAAAAAAAAACATGTTGCTAGCATTTAAACGGCTGTTTCTACTAGTTACTATATTAAAAAGTTTATTTTTAGAGAAGAAATCCCCTGCAACCAGCCAATTGGAACGTTGGTGGTCGGGATGGGGATTCAATGTGTTCGACCCGACGGGAAAGAAGCAAGAACACGATTTAAACGGCTATGGACAGATGGAAAGACCTCAGTTTTGAAGTAGGGCTTTTAAAACCTATTTGATTCTCCGGTAAAGCTATCAAAACTCGCATTTTAGAGCCGTGATTGATACGGGACGAACCCATCAAATTCGCGTGCATGCTCAATTTTTAGGTGAGTTTCGAACGGGGTCTAAGTTATATATACGCACTTTCAGGCCATCCCATTGTGGGTGATCAGATCTACAACTCGGAGGCGTGGGGCCCGACGAGAGGCAAAGATGCTGACTATCAAAAGAACTACGAAGAGGTTTGTAAAGAAAACTTTAGGAAGGCAAGATTTCTTTTGAAGCTTGGTGTGATCATTCGCGACAGGCACAAAATGGAGAATTGGCTCGAAGAAGTGCTTCCCGGATACGAAGAAATGATGGAAAGAATGGCGACTGGAGAGGTTGTCTACACAAGAAATTTTGATTTTGATAGACAGACAATTCCAACTAAAAAAGTCAATACTTTTTATGTAGGTTACACCGGAGCCACCGTTTATCCCGCGTGAGCAACGACCCGAAAAAGATTCCGTGTGCTTGAGTTGCAATGTCATCAAGAAACCGCCTTCAAGAGCACATTTTTCGTTAAATTTACATTGTTTAAAGTAAGTTTTGCGTAAGTTGAAGGAATGTAGATAGTATTGAAACTAGAAGGATCTAATGAATGCATTTTGCAAGTACCTAATTTGCATTGTCTAGATATGAGACGGAGAAATGGAGCTACGAGACGGAACTTCCCGATTGGGCAATTGAACCGCACAAAATATCAAATGAAGCGGATTCTTAAGTTATAAATTGTTTTCTTTTTGTCATTTGATTTAATTTTACTCAACTTCTATTTCCAACACAAAGTGATTGAGCTAAATACACAAAATACATAAAAAAATACATCAGCTACAGCTTTGAAATCTGGGATGAGATGGGCATAATTAATCACAATATAATAAGTATGAAGAGGAGGGTCGATAAATCAAGGAATGATTATTATTAGGGTAAAAATAAAACGGCAATTATTAGGGCGTCATAGAAAAACGAATAATAAAATACCTAGGACTTAGAAACCAGCTTCCTTGAAGATCTTCTCGATGTCGGTGTAGACCTATAATTAGGTATGGATTTAAATTTTTGGAGAACGCCGTTTTCAGGTTTGGTGCTTTAAGTGTGAAAGTATTTCGAATCTAGCTTTGGTGTAATTTTTAATTATAAGTTTAACCAATCACTCACCTCATCAGTATCGCGGCATGTAGCAACCTCACGCACAAGTCCAAGCTTCTCGTAGTATTCGATAATTGGATATGTTTGCGTGTTGTAAGTGTGAATACGTTTCCTTAATGATTCCTCGTTGTCATCGGCTCTGAAAAAACAAACATTACTAACTTATGGGATTTAAAATTTAGATGTAACAGATAGAAAATTTTTACCAACCTTCCTTGTTTCCGATTGAGGCATCGACTCACACAAACATCTACTTTGCACGAGAGGTAAAGCGTGAACTTGACGTCCACCTAAAAACATGTACATTCATTGTTGTAACCAAACACTAATTAGGCAATTGCCTTAACATTAACTTTATTAACTTTATCAACTCTATTTATCAAATTGTCGTAAATTTCCAGTTTTACTTTCTCATTCATTTCGTTGGTCTGCTGAAAATGATCAACGATAATTTTTTTTTTGCCAGGACATGCAGTCAAAGCTTTTTGACCGCAAAAAATGGCACGGGGAAACGGTGTGAAACGCCAGATTACCCCGCACGATAAGGGTCGAAAGGGCTAGCAAAAAGTGCAGATTAACCAAAGTTTTCGACTATTTTAATCGCTCTTTTCGAAAAACGAACCAAGGAATAAAAAAAGTTGAATCAGGTTAAGATTTAGAGACCCCAATAAATAAAAACCCTACCTTGTCTGCCATGTTCTTTTGCCAGCCGTCCAAATTGTCTTGATTTCGCGGGAAGCCATCAATCAAAAAGCCAGCGCAATCACCTGATGCCTTCATCGCCTAAAAATAAAATTTTAGGAAAATTTGAGCTAAATGTTGGACTCGTACTTTAACGGTTTACAATCAGGAAAATTTCAAAGACTGTAATACTTACATTCTCCAGTAAAGCACACGTGATGGCGACGGGGACGATCGTTCCATTGCGAATGTGCTCGGCGATGAGTTGTCCATATCTAAAGAATTTGATTAGTCAAATTGCGTTTTAACTTTGAAGAATCATGTGACTTACTGCGACTTGGATTCTTGTTCCTCTCGCAGTAAATCACCGGCGGAAAGATGAACGAGACCAAAGTTCTAAAATTAATATTACAATGAAACGTTCAAAAGCTGCATAAACTGTGATAGCCCCAGCCGAAGAATAATACCTTTTGAATCAAAGCGCATTGGGTTCCTTTTCCCGATCCGGGTGGTCCGAGGACAAAGACGACTTTGTAGAGGTTGGACATCCCTCTCGCGACTGATCGACCCCCTATAAAAAAAATGGATAATGTTATAATAAACTTGTGTTACAAAATTTAAGGTTCAGTTTTAATCAAAAGATTGGGGTAAAACTCATGGAAGAGGAGCTCTGCAAAAGTTTGGATGCTAGTGAAAGTGGAGCTCTTATTCATCGGAAATTATCTAAGATCTCCGACAAATGTGAGCATTCATTTTCAAATTTGTTTCACAAATATAACTTGAAACAAAAAGTCAGAGCGTTCATTGGCATTCAAAAATCTTTTGGGGCATTACTAAGTGTGAAAATTGGGAGGGGAAAGGTGAGAGTTCAAAATGGAGCCATTTGAACACGTGCAAGGCACATGGCTCGCAAAGGAAGGGCTTTCGAATTTGAAAAAAAGCATACATAATGTATCTCATTTTTTTCCATTTCCAAAGATCCAAAGAAAACACTAGCTTTGTAAGCATTTCGATCAAAAAATGTGTATATGTTAAAATGGGATTCCTTTTCAATCGTAACACATGTGTGTCTGCTAGGGTCAAAGGATGCGCCGAGAAATAGGGAGAAAAAGATTAAAGATAAGGGAGAAACGAGTCGTACAGCCCACTGCTCACACCCCTTTGCCCAATATCGTCGAAAATTTGTGAGGAAATTAATTTTGAAAGCAAATTAGAGAATGTTGTCGAATTTTGAGCGAGTTCTGCAAAAAGCCGTCTGAAATCCGGTTTCATTGAAAGAATTGAATGCTGAACTAATTTTCATAGCCGTTCAGGGAATGAGATAGACTTTCTCATAGACATTTATAAGACAAAGAAACTCACTCGCCCAAATGCTACTGCCAAAGAGTCGTCGGGTTGCTATTTGTGCTGAAATTAAGCTATAAAATCTTGTTTGACGATTATAGTGTTTGATAGACATAAAAATTGATGTTCAAACGCCAAAACTTCAAAAATGAGAGTAACTTCATAATCAGTATTTATTATACATATATAAATTATTAAACCGGAAGAATCAAATCAATTTTTCATATCCGGTGAAAAAAAAGATGGCAAAGTAGAGAATATCCCGATGTTGAATCTCACAATTTGTAGTCAAACTCTAAAAAAGAACTCGTAAATATAGCATTTCTTTGTTAATCTGAAATAACTAGTACTAGGTAAAATATTGAGCAAGTCAATTAAAAAACTAATTAGCTTATAAAATTAGCCCCTATTTCTTTAGCTTCTGTGCTTTACATGAAAAAGTGCAAACCAACTTTATCAATACGCATCATCCATGTCTGCTTCCTTCAATTTTCCCTTTGCAGAGATTGCCGTCTTTCGTTGTTCAATCTAAAGAAATTAAAATAAAAGAAATTAGAATAAAAGAAGCGTAAGTTTACTTTTCGTTGGCGCTCGTTCCTCTCCTCTTCCATACGATTCATTTCCTCGACTGAAATCTAAAATTCAAAAGATTTTAACAATAACGAAACAAAATGACAACCAGTTTTGCAAAGCTTAATGATAGAGGTAGCAAAAGGTCACCTTTTTGGAATTTGATATGCTTTTTCGCTAGCATTATCCTTAACGTTTCTTCACATAAAACGTTTTATTAACGCTTAGAACTAATAGCTTAACCAAAAAAAGATGCGTTTCCAATTCACCTTTTCAAGTTAACCCTTAAAACACCCGCCTTCGTTAAGCCAGTGTCGACCGTCTCATCAATTTCCCCCGCTAGCACGACGTTCTCTCCTCGAATCAACAGAAATCCTTGGCGAATATCGCTGTAGTACTTGTCGAAAAACGTCCTTTCCACCACTTCATCCAATATCAGATTCGCGAATTGGTCGATCGAGCGCAAACATCCGACAAGTTTTCGGCCATCACGTAGAACGACGATGAGTCGCTTGTCGAGTTGATCGAGAAGACTGATTGCACCCGGTAGATAAGGATGTGGCAACTCCATCTTGAATATCAAAAAAATATAGTTTTAGATTGAGTTGAGAGCTCCAAGAGAAGAAAGAATAGAGCGCGTAAAAAGAAAAGCGATGGCCGACGCGGCAATACAAATTACGCATTAAGGTCTCGAGGCAAGCGACGCGACATTATTTGTCCCGCCTACCGTAATCCATTCGGGCCATTTTCTTTTCTTTTTTCAAAGTTGAAATTGCTCCACTAACAATTTCTTTCGTACTTTTTTGTTTCTTTGGCTCATTTTGCAAGCAAAACTTAATATTTTTGATTTCAGGCAACATGCCGCGGGTAAAATGTGTCCATTCGAAAGTCACGAAGACCCCACGCCGTCCATTCGAGAAGGAACGTCTCGATCAGGTACTTTTTTTTGTTTGTTTTATATATTTTGGAGTAAAAGTTGGTTAAACGGCAATAATACACATAATCTTTGTGATAATCGTCCCTCTCCTCTTTGGAAAATATCCTACTTGCCAAAACGATGTCAATTGTTAACGGGTTGCAGGAGTAGTTCTGTGTTTGTAAAAGATTCTAACCATGATGTGATCGTGAACCGATTTCCAATCTAGGAAAATTTCTGGTGGTTTTGCACAGTTTTGAACCATCTAAATTTTGCGACTAAAGGGTTGTGGTCTTGCTATTGGTTTAAGCAAGATGTGAAATTCAACGGGTTATTTTAGTTATCAGGATCGTTTTAAAAATCACTAGCATAGTCGTTCCCCTCCGCTTTGGAAAAGATCCTACTTGCAAAAACGAAACATCGAGATAGTCAACCTTTCAACAAACTTTTTAAAAAGTTGTTGTTTTCTAAAAAATTTTGATTCTTTTCTTTTTAGGAACTCAAGCTCATCGGCGAGTTCGGTTTGGCCAACAAGCGTGAGGTGTGGCGTGTGAAATACACCTTGGCCAAGGTGCGCAAAGCTGCTCGAGACCTGTTGACATTGGAAGAGAAAGACCCTAAGCGTCTTTTCGAGGGAAATGCTCTTCTCCGTCGTCTCGTCCGCATCGGTGTGCTCCCAGAAGACAAGATGAAGCTCGATTACGTCCTCGGTCTCCGTGTTGAGGATTTCCTTGAGCGACGTCTCCAAACTCAAGTGTTCAAGCTCGGACTCGCCAAATCGATTCACCATGCGCGTGTTTTGATCCGCCAAAGACACATTCGGTTAGCTTTTCACTTTATCTAGTAATGGTATTTGAAGTATTAATATATTATTTTTGAGCATTAAAAGACTATGTAAAAATAAATTAAGAACGATGGGGAATTGATCAATTTGTTTTAGTGTTCGCCGTCAAGTCGTCAACGTTCCTTCATTTATGGTTCGACTGGATTCCCAGAAGCACATCGAATTCGCACTTACATCTCCATTCGGAGGTGGCCGCCCAGGAAGAGTGAAGAGACGTTCGATGAAGAAGGGTGATGCTGGAGCCGGAGACGATGAAGAGTAAATAATTTCTTTTTTGTTGATAAATTTTTGTTATTTGGGACGCATAAATTACCTTAAATACACTTGGAAAGACATTACATGAACTAAAAAATTGGCACAAAAGCTTCTTAGCTTTAAAGGTACGACAAAGGGAAATCACCATGATTTACTAAGATTTGATGATTTCATATCTAGAACTTACTGATTTCTTTCTTGGACTGTGCGAACCTCTGTACACTTGACACAAGGCATAATCTTTTATTTTTCTTGAACGAAACCGGAACTCTAGTATTTTCAAAAAGAATATTTCGTGAGTTTGACGCAATTTGTGGCGTCTATGTGGTACCCGTAAGTAGAGATTCTCCCTTGCCTTCCTACGTCATCCTTGGCTCAGAACTATTTGTGAAATACATAATCACCGCTTAGGGTGTAGGCTTTGTGAAGGTGTCTTGTCGTGGACACGGTTTTCGTTGAGAGTTTTGCGGGGGCTTATGCAGGGATGGTTGTTCGCCATTTCGTGTAAACCCAAGATTGATAAGAAAACTTGCCAACAATCCGTGAATAACATTTGCTTTAACGGGGCTCGTTTTTTTTAGGGACGATGTGGGCGGAGTCAACAGCGGATGGTATCCCTCACCCCTCCTTCAAATAGCAATACCATGAGGAGGTCTTTCAGAGCAAAAGACGGGGTTTCATGAGAATTGAAAAGTCCTCTCCTTTGAACATTTCCTGATTTCGTTTTCTTGAATAGGCCAAGTGATGAAAAGAATATACGAAACAGCTTGTTTAACTTTTTAAAGCAGTAACTTCTTCCACATTAATCTTACTGTTATTTTTGAATTGATTTGCAGTTTATTAGCTTGACATTTCGAAGTCCTTCATCTTATTGATTCTTAAAATTTACAATTTTTCATTACAATTTACACTTTCAGCTAATCAACAGCCATGATTGGGATGGTGAATGTGCAGTGCGACAGCACAATGGACTTCTATGCGGCTCCAAGGTGACTATTTCGAAAAGCTTTCTATTTGAGGCTAGGGCTAGGGCTAGGCTCTCTTCTTCTTTCTGTAAACCTATGTTCATTTTTCCATTTTTCCTTTAAAGGCGTTCACCAAACGCCGCCGCGCAGGCGGAAGCGAATTCGGCGGTGGTGGCTGAGATTGGGAATGAGAAAGGAAATGGAAAGAAGGAGAAATCAACGAACGTTCAACGGAAACTCTCTTACAGGTCACTCAATTTTCAGCTCCTCCAAAAACGGTCATCCAACTTCTAGACCGCTCTTCGGCCGACGAAAAATCGAGAAGATCGCCTATTCGGCTGATGGAAGAAAGATGAGCAATGGGGAAGTGCTCGAGGTGAGTGAATGGGATATTGTAAAGTGAGATAGGATTTAGAAATGTTACAGTTACAGTTAGATCGAGAATATCGAGTATACCATTGATCTTTGATAAGTGATGGGTTAGCTAGAATATCTTGAGCGTTTGTGTTAAAGTTTTGGATCCAGTTTGGATCATTTCCGCTTCCAAAGCTAGAGTTCTTTCAAAAATGTTTTGGCTTTGATTCTTTCTTTCTTTGCATTTTCAGCTGACTAACGAAAATTTCAATTTTTAGCTTTCAGAAAGGGAAACTACATTATCTTTAATCGTTAGTGAAAGAAAAAGAACTTGGGTACGAAATTTTTCCTTTACTGGATTATTGTAGTTTTTCCTATTGTCTTTGGCTTTAGCAATTGTTAATTTCCAAAGCATTTCCCATTTCAAAATCAGGGGTAGGCTAGTTTCCGCAACTTTTTTTTGCGCAAGAGGGTCATTTGCGCAACTCACCATAACTTTCTTCTAAGTGGGCTAATCTTTATGATTTTGATTTCATTTTGTAGATCTCAATAAGTGCACCAAAATGAAACCAAATTCATAAAGATTAGCCCGCTTAGAAGAAAGTTATGGTGAGTTGCGCAAACGACCCAGTTGCGCAAAAAAAGTTGCGGAAACTAGCCTACCCCCAAAATCAAAATCAAGAATCCTTATCAAAGCCAAAACATTTGCAACTTTTACTATCCACCCACTCTCGAAATTTTTCAAGTTTTTACGTCATTCCTTCGCGTTTTAAATCTATTTTGTGTTTATTTTTCCACCCCCAATTTTCTCTAGCTCAGATTGAATCTTTTGACCCGGGCTATTATCCTTTTTTTTGGATAGGAAATCTTTTGTGAATGGGCTGAGTCAAATGTTTACTTTATTTTCCGGCCTGTCCCTTCCCTTCTTTAACCCGGAATAGATTGGGAGAAAATTTTGAAGACTTTTTGAAGAATTTAGAAGACTTGCAAAAAGGAAGAAAGAAGAAAGAAAGGTTTAGAGCTAGTTGAAGTTAATTTTATAAGGCACCTTTTAGAACCTTTTAGGTACCTTTTAGAACCCTGTAACCTTTTAGAAAGTAGTCAAAAAGTAAAGCTTAATCAAAAAGTTGAACATTTCTTTAAAAACCCTTCAAATTTGCAGAAGCACAGTCCAAATAAACTTTGGGAGGAGTTGATCATTCGCACGTTCGCGAAGAAAGTCGAGGATGATGTGAAGTGCCCATTGGAGGGGATGAGACAACTTGGAGAGGGAATACAAACGATTCGGAATCTAGGTGAGGATTGGGATTGAAATTGAAATTGAAACAATTGAATTGAATTGAATTGAACAACAATTTGAAACAAATTAGAATATCACTAAATAAACTTTAAACTACACTTTTGAAGACTGTAGCTACAGCTAGTCTAGAAATCTAGCTTGATGTGCTTTTTGCTTGATGTGTAAACGCGAGCTTTCTGGTGCGCTAGATTCTTGAAAACTTGGAATCTATGATCAATAGACTTCTAGCGATTATAATTTTAACATCTATAAGCTCTAGTGTGCTAGCAAGCGTGCGTTTGCTAGAGCACAAAGAGCAGAACGGGTTTGGGCTGGCTTACTTTTAGCATTGAAATTTCTATTTTCCTTAAAGTCCATCCCAATCACTATTTCCAAAAAACTTATCATTTTCATTTCTTTTCCAAAAACCCTTGCACAGCGCTTGTTAATCTTTCTTCTAATTCCCGTTGTCTTTCACGGGATTATGAATAGGTGACAATGAGTGGTACAGGCACAGTAAATCCTTAAATTCTTTGAGTTCTTAAAAAGAAATCAGAAAACGTTTAGGAAAAAAAAATAGGAAATTGAGAAAAGAAAAGAAAAGAATCGATTGATCGATTGGTTTTGAAATTTAACTTAACAGACTAAAAACTTAGTCAACTACCTAATAACCTACCGTAAATACTGTAATAGTACCTCACCACAATAATGACGGTGCGGAGTGTTACGTAATCTAGCTTTGAACGAGTTTTTCTCGACACTGGTTTATGCTACAATGCTCGTTTAGGTATCAAAAAATAGCTGAAATTCAGGGCTATTTTTTGATACTAAAGACACATTTTTTGAAAGTACGGGAGCTTTGAAAAAAATGAAATACTAAAAAACTTTTGCGACTACGCGACTGGACGAGGGCGGGTGGGGTACTATACAGTATTTACGGTAGTCAACTATTTAACAGACTAACAACAGTACAGTACGCAGCAGGATTATTGTTCAAAATAGACAGGTGCTGGGTCGCCAAATTCATTTCGCCAAATGCAAATGGCTTTTCTGAATCACATTTTATTAGAAAACAAAAGTCTAGACAAAAGACAAAAGGACTTAGAAAAGTTAATGCGCTATTCTCCAAGTCAATGCGTTGTTCCCAATGTTGTGGAGAGGGGATGGTTGGTTGCTTTAATTGTGAGATGCGGGAACGCGTAGCACAGGAATGTGAGCTACTGCTTTAGCTGTTAAAAGGCTTCAGCGACGTAGCGACTATTCTCAGCCTGTTTATTCTCATCAGCTAGAATGCATTTGGCGATTTGAATCTTTAGTTCAAACTAATTCTTGAGGCTAAGAATAACAATAAAATAAAATACAATAAAATACAATAAAATAAAATACAATAAAATAAAATACAATCAAAAGAATAACAATAAAATTCTAGATCGTCAACAATCGTGCTCAATGTATTCACTTGTTTCCGATCATCGTTTGATGGCTGAGATTGAAGAGGGAGAGAAAGATGAGGAGCACTTCCATCAACAACAGCAACAACGCCCGCTCAAGGTGGTCGGCTTCTCTTTCGATTAAGCGATTCAATATCCTCTCAATCCACAGTTGCACACATAAAATTTGTTAATATTATTTATTTTTTTGAAAATGCACGTTATCAGTTTAACTTTGGCTACTCTAACTTTAACTAAATTTGCACAGAAACATAGATTAGATCTAGATTAGACTAGATCTAGTCTAGATTAGATTTAGATCTAGTCTAGATTAGATTTAGATCTAGATTTAGCTTGCTTGGATGAAGATAAAACAATTCTTGAGCTCGAGAAACTTGTACAGCTCGAGAAACTTATTCAGAATCGTTGGTTTAGATTTAGCTGGATGAAAGTCACTGTCACTGACCAGCCACTGACCAGTCACTGACCTTCATCCAGCTAATCCAAAGAGTACGATAGCTTTTTCGTATTTTAGAAAACGAGAAGTTTAATAGTGATCGAGTAGCATAAATCTTAAGATTATGAAATCGTAAGCTTATGAAATCTGAATGAAAATTGATTCAATAAACAATTCCAGGGCCTCATCGAAGAGCCCTATATGGGATTTGGTGACGATGGATGCGATGGTGTTCGTGAACGGGCCACATCCACTGTTTCATATCCGGAGACTGCGGCAAAGATCACAAAGATTGCCGCCGCTCGCCGCCATCACAGCCATCATGCAAAGCGAGCCTCGGATATTCTCTGAAATCTGGCGATGAAATCTGAAATAACGATAAAATACACATTTTTAAAGCACTATCTATTGTCTAACTACAGTATACTGTAGCCAGACAGTCAGACAGACAGCCAGACAGACTACGGTAACTTTAAAGTATCTTTAAATTCTTTAAACTTTAAATTTTAAACATTTTTTTAAACTTTTTTTAAACTTTAAATTTTAAACATTTTTTTAAACTTGAACCAATTTTTCTAATTTCTTTTTATCTAAATTTCATAGCTCAGCTAATTTGTATATAGTGCATATCCAAAAATCAATAAAACCCTAAAAACATTTTCATTTTATGATGATTTCAGTGAGTTTTCCGTTTTTCTTCGTTTTCTCTTGCTTTATCGGCTTTAAATCCTGGAAATCTTTCTTTTTATTGAAAACTTGAACGTGTTTTTATGCTTTTCTACAATAAAATTTTGTTTGTTAGCAGTTTTTCACAAAAAAAAATGCAAACTTATGCAAGACTTTAAAAGAGCAAAATAAAATAGTACCAAAAATATTAAATTTAAATGTAATTTCGAAATTTTCAACTATAAATTACCACTTAACGGTTATATTTAAAGCTAAAGCTCGCCACAAAATCATTTGCTTATTTTTTGTGAGGTTTCTTCTGCTTGTTCTGCTTTGTTTCTTCAAAATCCACTTTCGACTATGAAATTCCCGTGAGTTTTTGATTTGATTTTGTTATTTTACTTTAACTTTACCTTTGATAACTTGAGTTCTTTAAAGTTTTTTGCTTTTCCTCTTTGCCATTTTGCGTGCTTTGGTGTATAAAGTTACCGGTTTTTGCGTTGTTTTACACAATTTCTTTAGTGAAGATGTCCCGGTGGGAGCCTATGTGCCGCCAATCCTTCGCTCGGCCACCATTGTCCCATCCGATTGCACATTCACCGCCCGTTACAACAAGAACACGAAATTGTAGGAGTTCTATTTCATTCTTTGACATGATTGTTTTTAGAATCAACTACAAGTACGAGATTACTTGGAACGAGCTGCACGAGTCGCTGGATAGAGCTGAAGAACGGGGTGAGCGTTAGCATGGTTAACTTTGTAATGTTTTTGCTTTAGATGATAGTTTTCACAAAGTAGAAGCGATTGAGCCAAAAGTGATGTGTGACGGTGTTTGCAAGAAAAAGCATAAACCAAAGAAGCTGTCGGTGAGCGTTTACATTGGATTCCTGATGGTTATTTATTTTTAGCAACGAGGACGATGTGGCCATTACTTATGTGTTCCTTGCTCAACGCTTGTCAAGAACCCGGACGGTATTTCATCATTGCATACAAGTAATTCTTTGCTTTAGGAACTGATGGTTGTTCGGCTTGGCAATGTTACCGCAGTGCCTTTGGTTGGGAGTCCGAACAACAGGCCAAGAAGTACTACGAGACTCGAATTTGCGCGAGCAAGGAAAGGGACAAGCTCCAACCGGTGGTTCGTATTGAATTCAAGCTTTTAACTGCTGTTTTTAGATATCATGCTGTGCCTCTGTTGCGAGCGTCAACAAATCGCCTATTTCGAGTTCGCCGTTGGCTACATCGACACCGTAAAGTTTCATGTGTATTTTTATATAATTTTGTGTTTAGGATTTCAAAGCCGAGTCATTCGGTTTCTCTCTCACAAGACGTCTCTCGGCTTCAGCGCTCTTCCAGTGAAGTAAATGATATTTATCGTTGAATAAACTAACCTATAACTTTTAGCCGCGTTCTTACGGAAACACGTCTACTCGTGCGTATCAATATGAAATGCTGTTGGTGAAGATTCTCGAGCACGAAGTCATTCCAATCAATCGTCGTCATACAAAGATGTATGAGGTAGCTTGTGTCTAAATTCTACGATTTTCTCTTTAGGAAGAAGTCGGTGGTGAGGTGACCCTTGAGAAATGTCTGAATGAGATTATCGGGCCCCGTCCGCTCAAGTACGTTTCAATTGCAACAACGTTTATAAATTATATTATTTTAGGGATGGTCAAGTCTTTCTGTTGACGAAGGAGTACCCCTCGAAGAAGCATGTCTTGTTCCTCATCAACAAAGAGGCTAACAGGGGACTTCCGCTTTACAAGGTGCGTTTGTTTTGTGGATTTTCATGAACACCGAGTTTAGCTTGCGTCGATTGGCGGAAAGCCTGAGATTCAAATTGCCATTGACTACAGCGGTCAAATGCGCAGCAAGAAGGTTCTCTGAAGGACAGCACTCAACGAATGATTTACAAACTTGATCTTTATTTGTGCAATACCATGTTTTTGTGAAAATTTTATGAGGCGAATAGTAAACGGTTGGAATGAAGGTTGTTAGTTGAAATTAGACGTTGTAATAACTACAATTTAAAACATTGGAGGGGTAGTTATTAGACTTTACCTTTTAGATCTAGTACTCTTCCTTATCCAAAAAGCATGCTGACAGAAATTTGATGAAATTTTTAACGGTAGATGGAAGTCGGATTGGTTTAGAATGCTTCGTTGATTTTCTTCAGCCTATCCGTTATAGATTTGCAAACGAAAAAAGGATAGCTCCAACACTCCAATCTTTCGTTCGAAATGAAGAACTTGAACATAGACATTTTCCGATGGACAAGTTGTGCTACAACTTGAAGTTGGAAGTTTGAGAAGAAATAGATGGCGAGGATGTAGTAATCTAGATGTTTCCGAAATTTGCATATGTTTTTCATTTAAAAGAATTCTTATCGATCAAAAAATCATTTCTTATTCCGGCTACTTTCCCATTTGGACGTTTCTGCAAATCGATAATTTTCAACGCAAACGACAACAATATGTGCCGAGGGTGAGTGAAATTTTGTTATTTTTTTACTTGTTCAAGTAGTGTCTTATTGTTAATAGTTTTTTCTTATCTTTGTTGGGGAAATAGGAGCAACTACAGGATGTGCACTGTTAAGAACAAATATTATTGACAGCTTGGACTAATTAGCGTCGGAGTTTATGTCCTTTTTCAAATCCTTTTGTTTTAGAGTTAACAACAAGAAAGGATCGACAAACGAAGGGGACATCATCCGTCGAACTGGAGCGAGTGACAAAGAGAAAGAAGAGTCACCAAGCCGAGATCAGGATCCGGGACCGAACACTCCGTCACCTCCACCAACGAAAACTGCACAAGAAGGAGGAGGAGCCTCAGCTTCCGAGAAACACAAGGTAAAAGATTTCTACTTTTACCTATACCTGTGTTAGTTGCTTTAAAACAATTTTTATTATTGTTTTTAGGAACCAAAGAAAGACGAGACTGGAGTGATAGAAAGCAGAAAGGATTCAAAAGATGACGCCGTTCCTGGAGCTGAACAGCAAGTACGTTTTTAATCTTGTTCTTTATTTAGCAATGGTTATTGCATAGTATATTTCAATTTAGGTCCACAAATGGATTCAACGGACTCTCGACATGGGCGTACCGGCTCTTCGCAACGAGTATCGCCAGTTATCGAAATGGTGTCCAGAGGGAATGACGTACGATGCTTTCAAAGCCAATCAGGGAGCTCAACCGCAACGAAATCGGTAAGCTTTAGATGTATAAGTTATATCTTAGATAAACCTACTGATAAACTTTATTTTTAGATATCAAGATGTACCATGTGGAGATGCGCGTCGAGTGGTGATCAAGTTCCCGGGAGCTCCATGCGAATACATCCATGCCAACTTTGTGAAGACACCGCAGGCCGAGAATCGTTTCATCTGCACCCAGGGACCTCTCGAAAACACGGTCGTCGATTTTTGGTTAGTTTGCGCCTTTTTGTAAACTAGAAAAACTTTTTCATTTTAGGTACATGGTGATTCAGGAAGCCGTCGAGACAATTGTCATGTTGTGCAATTTTTTGGAAACTGGCAAAACCAAATGCCATAAGGTTGAGCTCATTTTTTAACGCACCCAACTGTTTTTTTAGTATTTCCCGATGGAGAAAGATGAGACGATGACGATCACTCCAGATATCACTGTGACGAACACCAAGGTGGAAAAATTTCTTTTTCTTTGTGATCTTATATTTAGATTGGACCGATGTGCCCCGAGGAACCTTCTGTAAAGCTCTCAATGCTGAAGGTGAAATTCAAGAAAGACGGAAAAGAGGAGACACGAATGGTGGGGTTCGATTTATTAATCTTAGAGAATATTATTCTCTAATAAGTTTGCGCTAAATAAAAATCATTGTTTTGTTTTAGATCCGCCACTTCCATTGGCAGGACTGGCCAGATCGCGGCGTTCCACCATGTCGCCTCACATCGACGGTCGGTTTTTAAAAGCTGCCTACCACTTTGTTTTGTCTATCCAATTTTTTTTTCATTTAGGAGCTTCTTTCGCGAATTCGTGATAATCAGAAGCCAATTGTGGTGCATTGCAGCGCGGGAATCGGTCGAACGGGCACGATTGTAGCAATTGAGTGAGTTTACCGTGGATAAATTTAACCCTTCTTCTTTTAGACACGTACTTGAGAGCTTGCAATACGGAAAGGAGTGTGTCGATATGGATAAGTTGCTCAAGGAGCTACGCGAGCAACGGCCTTGGTCGATTCAAAATGATTTAGTTGATTTTGGCTCTTAAAAAATTGTTTATATTTGTACATTTAGCAATACCTCTACATTCACCGCATTCTTCTCTACTACTTTCTCGAAAAACACAAGGCAAAGAACCAGGTAACGAATATATAGCTGCCTTATTTTACATTTGTGTTTAGGCCTTGCTTACGCCCGACAATCAGGCTAAGTACAAGCAGTTCAGCGAAGAGTACGAGAAAGCGACCACTTGAATGAAAGAAAATTGAGACAAAACGAGAAACGAGACAAATCGAAACGTAATTTAATATTGTCTTTTAATCGATATCGAGTTTTTAATCGGAATAAATCGTTTATTGGTTGCTTCTTTTTTTGTTTAATGTTTATTGTTATATCGCTAACAAATAACTAAATGATAAGCAGCACCAGGAAGTAGAAAAGTGAAAGACGTGAATGGGTGTGGAACGGATAAGGACAATGATTGAATATCTATCTTGTTTCTGTATGCTGTAATGAAAATATGTAAACTGTACAATATCTTTAATGTTGATGGGGTTTCTGAAGAAGTGGAGATGGTTGTGAGAGTGGGCCGCCAACTAATCGGTCCACTCGAATTGAGTCTCGTTGAATGCGTTGCTTTTGTCGGATCTCGCCATAAGGAATCCGATAACAAGAACAAGAACAAACCTGAAAATTTTACGTTTCAGTTTTCACCAGCTGCAACTCACCGATATATTGTCTTCATCTAGTCGTGCTCCGAAAGCGGTCTCTTCTTCATCTGACGAGTCATCAACTTGGATGAGACCCCGTTCGGCGAGAAGAGCTTGATGCGCGTCTCGTTTCTCGTCCTAGAAAGCAAGTTAAGATCCAAGGTATGGTTTTATGCTTCGAAATGCTTTGGCAGATTTGGGATTTTGATTTTGATTTTGCAAAGAAAGCGTTTTGGAAGTATAAAAATAAAGAACGGCGTCCATGGTCGCTCTTTTCCTTTTCCTACGTTATTCATTTTCAAAGCTATTTTGCAAATGATGGAAGGAACCGAGGGGAGTCGAACCCTCGACCTTTCACTTTACAGGCAGGCGCTCTACCCATTGAGCCTTAGGCACTTTATCCGCCAGAGCGAGCGAGGCTGATTTTCTACCATAACTCAAAAACAAACCTCGGTATTCATTGTGAGGAACCGCAAGACAAGCAAATTCATCGCCGCCGAGATCACCGCCAAACCGAACATGATGAAAACTAAGGAGAATATCACGTAGTCTGGCCTTTTCTGCAAAGCGCCATCCTTTTGCAGGGCTACGAAATCGCCGAAGCCTGAATTGAAGGGTAATCTTTTGTAAAGAATTGCTCAAAATGAGATGCTGCTCGTCGTTTCCTTACCGATTGTCGTTAGTGTGGTGAAACAATAGTAAATCGAATCGAAATACGACCATCCCTCGTATTGTTGAAAGGCGTACGCGCCAGCCACAATCAGAAAAGTGCCCCAGCCCGAGGCTATGAAAATCAGATCGCCCTGGGTTACCTAGAGGATTTCGGAATGGTTGAGAGTTTTTATTTTTACCCACCTCTGGCGCTCGCCCGGATATCCGACGAATGAAGCGCAATAGCTGTGCGGCGAAAGTGTTCATTCGTTCACCTAGAAATTTGATTAAGCTGAGATTCAATAGCCTATAGAAAGTGGCTATTAAAAGCTACCGTACTTCAAAATAAAATAGATTCACGACTGACTTACTGTAGTTTTTATAGACTTATAGCTACTTATAGCTTTATAACTTTTTTGAATGAAATCGAAGCCTCACCGATACTTTGAAACATCACAAGTCCAAGCGGGATCCCGGCCAACGCGTACAACATACAGAAAATCTTTCCACCTGTTGTCATTGGCGTACTGTGACCGTAACCTGAAATTTGTTCAAATTTCCATACGATCAGTGCGCCAGAGAGTGGGCGTTTGCTAGAGAGCACAAATCACAGTTCAAAGATTGTCTTGGTTACAGAATTAAGCTTCTAATGCTACACAAAATGCAAATTTTAGATATTGGATTTCTTCTTAATTTAAATTCAAATAAATAAGCCACTCACCAATCGTCGTGATGACGGTGGTAGCGAAATAAAAAGCGCCGCTGAATTTCCATTGATAGCCACCCTTATGTGGCACGCTTTTCACGATGATTGCCTAAATAGGAGAAATATTAAAGCGAATTATAAAATAATTGTAAAAAATATGAGATAAACGAGTAATAAATGGTGTTTTTTTCGATTTAAACCGAAATTTTCACCTCTAAAATATCGTAATCCGCTTCGGACATGTTGTACTTTTGGAGAAGCATTTTGCGAATCTTTTGCACGAGACTTCTCTAGAAAATTTGAGATTTTAAGGAAAATCCCTTTTTATTATTAGAAAAACGTTTAAAAGTTTGATTTTGACACTTAAACCACTTAAACCTGTTGCATTTCGTTGTCCGATTCGAGCGCGTCGAAAACCGCCGCTCCAACCAAGAGATAGGTGAGTGTGCAGACGATAAGAGAAAGTGTACGGACATTCTGAAGAAAATATGTAATATAGAACATAGAAAATAGGAGTTAAACAGTAGTTAAACAGTATATTAGTTAAACAGTTTACCGGAATTTAAACGGATCGAATTTGACCGATTAAAAGCGAAAATCAGATTTGAAACGCTGTACACTTTTCGTCAAAATGCTACCGTAATACCTCTAGCGTAGTCTAACTTTGGACGCATTTTTCTCGCCACTCGTTTGTGCTACAGTGTGCGCTTACATATCAAATGAAAGCTGAAATTTAGGGCTATTTTTTGATACCAAAAATGTATTTTTAAAAATTATGAGCGCTTAGAAAAAAATGATTTAATAAAAAATTTTCTTGCGACTACACGACTGTACGGCGAAGGGCGCTACTATTAGAGGTATTACGGTAGCTCTTTTCACCAGATCTTTTCTGGTGTCTTTTCCTATTTTTTTGCCAAAGATCTCCGATTCTGACTCTGATTTTAAAAAAATAAGCAGAATTTTGGGAGTGGGACAAATGCGACCTTTTTTTTGCGCACCCGGACATTTGCGCACCTTTTTTTCCGCACCTTGCCCATTAGCGCACCTTTTTTTCGCGTTTTAAAAAAGCTCTAAAAAGCTAATATTCTAATATTAACCAATTTCTATTCCAAATGTTGTTTTTCTAGGTAATTTGAGGGTGTCGAATTCAAATTTTGACATAACAGAGCCATATCAGAGCCAGTGGAACCAATTTGAAAGACAAAACGGCTAGAGCAAATTACAGAAAATTGTCGCTTTTTCTCTTTGTATAACTCCGTCCGTTTGTTTCCACAAGCTCTGATATGTCTAAATTTCGATTCTACGCCCTAAAATTACCTAGAAAAACAACTTTTGGAATAGAAATTGGTTAATATTAGAATATTAGCTTTTTAGAGCTTTTTTAAAACGCGAAAAAAGGTGCGCTAATGGGCAAGGTGCGGAAAAAAAGGTCGCATTTGTCCCACTTCCAGAATTTGAAAAAAATACGGAATCAGTGTCTGATTGAAGATTGAAAAATGATGAAAAATCGGCTTTGCTAATTTTTAATCATTTTTTTTCTAAGCTGATATTAAAGCTGATAATATTTGTAATATCTGAAGAAATGACAGAAATGACTGCTTTCATTTGATATTTAAGCGTGTAAAAACAAACGTGTCTAGATATGAGCATTTGTTTAAGTTTTAAAGGCTAAATTTAGACTACGCGACGCTCCTATTGAAGCTTTTCTATTAGGAGATTTATGGTAAATTTGTAAGATAAAGAATTTTTTAACAAGTTACAATAAAAAGGGTTATTAAATCGTTTAAATTACATTAATTAAATCGTTTTCGATTCCGATTTCTTTCGATTTGAAACCGATTTTTGTGAATCTGTTTATTTTTGAAGATTTTGAAGATCCGGCCTTACCTGGCGCTTCATCGATGTTGGGAAGTGATCATGAAGTTATGGAATGAAGAATGAAGGATAAAGAATGAAGAGTGAAGGATAAAGAGTGAAGGATAAAGGCTAAAGAATGAAGGATGAAGATCAAGAATAGAGATGAAAGAATATAGAATATAGAATATAGAATAAAGAATTGAATAAACTTTAGACTATAAAAAGAAATCGAGAAATCAGAGTTGATTGTTGTGAAGGAAAGAGATCTTTTTGAGTTCTTTTAACTGAAAAAAGAGGATTTCTCTCTCTTTTACAAACCCTCACTGTGTAAAGGAGTGACGGAAACGGCTAAATGGAAAGCGAAAAGAAAGCTAGGAAAAGAAGAAAGCTATTGGCTGATTTTCCAGATTTTACAAGCAATGTAAAGCTGTTTAGAGATTCGATTATAAAAAAATCTCAAAATTTTGAAAGAATCGCCTTCTAGAACTGTTTACAACTCTGCGTTACAACAAAAATTGTTTATAAAGTGTTATAAAAGTATTTCCGTTAAGAGTAGTGATTTTTTAAATTGCCTCTATTACAAGGCTAGATCTAGGGGAAAATCTGGCTCCAACAAAGCTCCAACAAAGCCAAACAAGACCCGAACCAGGCAAGAGACACTTCAGCTCAACCCCAGAGCTGTCCAGAGCTCCAACAAACCCAAACAAGACCCGAACCAGGCAAGAGACAGTTCAGCTCAACCCCAGAGCTGTCCAGAGCTCCAACAAACCCAAAGAAGACCCGAACCAGGCAAGAGACAGTTCAGCTCAACTCCAGAGCTCTCCAGTCCAATCCAGACCCAGAAAAATCACCTTTGAATAATCTAGATCAAGATCTAGTTGAAGAACTTGATGAACAAATCCAAAAGTTGCTCTTGATTGAAAATTTAACTGTCTCTGTTTTGTCATAGAGATTTTTGTCTTAACTTCACTTGACTAGAATCTTTATTAAGATGATCTTAAGCTTTGCTTTACTAAAGAAGCTGTAAAGCTAAAGCTCTAACTATTTCTTTCAAGAATTCGAGTTCCTGATCAAGTGGGATGAATGGAAATGTTCTGGTCTCGTTAATGCATTCACGATCTCATTCTTCAGCTTCTCTGAAAAGAGAAAGCTGTGGAGAAAAGAGTAAAAGAATTTGAAGGGGAGAGGGGTGATCGATTCGTCTTTTCGAAAGGCTTGGGCCCTAGATGGAGAAGGGAAGGGTTGTAGGGGAGAGTGGAGGGGAGGGGAGGAAGGGGAGGGGAGGAAGGGGAGGAGAGGGAAGGGGGAGGAGAGGAAGGGGAGGAGA